GCAGAGGACATACATTATCATTCCAGAATGTGGGGAAGGGAGCACAGTGAGAAAGTACTGGACCAAACCAAGACCAAAAACCTGATGGGCAAACTCCAAGCTTTGCATCTCCATGTCTGATGTCAAAGCACCATCCACATCTCCAACTCCATTCATCTTTGTTGATTGAAACACACTTCCTCTCTTGGGCTGGTTCCACTTCCTCTTAGCAGCTGTTCTCAACAGATGTCCCATGACTCTGGCATCTTTAACACCTTTGATTCTCCAAGGCAATCTAGGCTTCAACTTCACAGCTTCAGGCAATTGCCTCTTTACCAAGCCTCCATTCAGGGACACCCCTGACACATGCCTGACCTCAACAGCTTTCTTTAGGCACACAGGTAAATTCAATAATCTGTTTCTTCTATTCTTAACCCTAAAGCCATGTGGATGAAGCTGCCAAGTTCTGCTTCTTGCTGGGGCTTGATAATGGCCTCCTTGTTCAACTACATCTTCACCAGTTTCCTGTCTTTTACTACCTAAGCTTGACTGTCCTAGAACTTGCTCTGTAGACCAGGCTGGCCTCAAACTCAGAGATCCACCTGCCTCTGCCTTCCCAATACTAAGATTAAAGGTGTGCTCCACCACAGCCAGCTCTAAGCTTTTCTTCAGTTTCTTTTCACAAATTGAAAACTTATCTGGATTGGATCTTGCCACAAGGTCACCAATCTCTATATTCCACTTCTTAATTTGTTCATCTCTTTGAACAGAAGGTTTAGTTCCATTTCACTTCCTGGTGCTCTTTTTCTCTTCAAAACTTACTTTTTATAATTTGCCATGCTCAGCTTTCCCCTTTTCATTATATATCTTCATTAGAGTCACCACTAATATTCACATGACAGAGACTATCCTAGGCTGTTCTGAGATTTTTTTTTCTGCCAATGGAATTAATCTAAAACTCTTCACTTTAGCCTCAGGCAGACTTTTCAGATGAGGGCAAAAGGCAGCCACTTTCTTTGGCAAAATATCACAAGAATGATTTCTAGGCATCATACTAAAATTCTTCTCTGAAACCTCTTGAGCCAGCTCCCAACATTTCAAGTCATTATCAGCAGCATTGTCTTCCATGCTTCTTCTAGTATGCCCCATTTAAAAGTGTTTAAAGCATGACACTGCTTTCCTAATCCAAAGTACCGAAGTCCATATTATTCTAAGCAAAATCATGTTCAGCCCTATCACAGCAATTCCTCAGTCCCTGGTAGTAATTTCTGTCTTAGGGTTGTTTTATTGCTGTGAAAAGACACCATGTCCACAGCAACTCTTATAAAGAAAACATTTAATTGAGGTTGTGGCTTACAGTTTCAGAGGTTCAGTTCATTGTCAATATGATGGGGAGCATGATAATGTGTAGGCAGATGTAGTTCTGGATACATATTGACAAGAATGTAGCAAGAAGTTGACTGACTATCACACTGAGTGAAGCTTGAGAAAAAGATCACAAAGCCCACCTCCACAGTGACACACTTCCTCCAAGGCCATATCTCCTGATAGTGCCTTTCTTTTGGGGGCCATTTTAAAATCACCACACTTTAAAATGTAACATACATATCTGTATTAATATAAGTATATACTGTGTGGTGTATACAAGCTAGCCAAAGATTATTTTTTTTTCTGTTTGAGTAGGTAAATATATGTTACATGTCTTGTATTTCTTCTAGGTTTATTTCTTTATGTTTGTAGTCAAGATTTTCAGGGAGTCTTCCCAATCAAACCTGATCACTATCAACCTGGAATGAATATACAGCCTCTTATCCCTGTAGAAATAAAATCATGACCTCTTCCCCAAAGAAACATATCTTTTCACTTCCATTTTAAGAATACATAGTTTGGTTTAATCCAGTAGTTTTCATAATCCAATGTGTCTTAGCAGCTGTTCTTCCTTCATTAACAATCAGAAAATCTAAGGACAACACAATAACATACAGAATACAGACTTTGTGTATTTCCCATCTTTACATGGCCTATTATATTTTTTACTCTATTTCTTTCTTAAGGACTTTACTATATTTTAAAACCAGTTTTAAGTCTATGACTGTCTCTACCCTTTCTTTTTTCCTTCCCTAGCCTATGTATATTTTTAAACACATCGTATCCTGTTTAGAGTTTTCTTTTTTTTTCTGTCTGGATCTGTCTTTCCTGAGCATCTGTATTGTTTTTCAGTCACATGAGATGAATCTTAAACTGCTATGTCAGCCACTGCCCATGTAGCTTAGTTTAGTTCAAAGTAGTAGTTCATGATGGCTGGTGGCTGGAGGCTGGCTCCTGCTACAGGCTTCTGGGAAATGCACTTTTGTACTGCTGTTGGCATGGGAGACAGGACAGGAGACTAAGAATCAGAATTTTGCTTTTTTAAAAAAACGTGTTTAGAACCTTTTTAAAACTTTCTTGGATTTTATGTGGATGTAGGTGCTATATGTAGGCAGTTTCTCTGTGTATTAGCAGTTACTTTCAAATAACTATCCAGAGACTTATTATTAATATAAATGCTTGGTCAATAGCTCAGGCTGGTTAGTAACTAACTCTTACTGCTGTCAGATGTCCTGTATGTTGTGAATAAATTAAACGCTGATTGGCCAGTAGCCAGGCAGGAAGTATAGGATAGGTGGGACAAACAGAGAAGAGAGCCTGGGAGGTTGCAGTCTGGGAAAGATGCCAGCCTGCCATCCAGGGAGCAACATGTAAAGACAACAGGTAAAGCCACGGAACACGTGGCAACATATAGATTAACAGAAATGGGTTAGGTGTAAGAGCTAGTCAGTGGTAGGTCTGAGCTAATGGCCCAGCAGTTTAATTAATATAAGTTTTTGAGTGATTATTTTATAAGTGGTTGTGGGGTCTGTGGTGCTGGGCAGGACTGGAGAAAACTCCAGCTACATCTTACATTTTAAATTAATCCATATTTCTTATCTACCCTTTGCCATGTATCTGTACCTTCTTTCAACACAGCACATTAGTCTTGCTTTTCTCTGTGTCTCTGGAGACTCCTCAAACTCCACCCTCCTACTTCCCAGAATTTTCTTAGTCTGGTTCTCTCACCTAGCCTTAACCTGCCAGGCTATAGGCCAGTCAGCATATTTATTAAATCAACCACAGTGGCATATACTCACTCAGTGTAAAGGAATATTCCACACAGATGTGTCTGTCTTTGGCTATTCTCTTCCTTTTATCTATAATAAACTTTGTCCTCCACCATACCTAGCAGCAGTCATTTTCTCTCATTTTTTTTATGCTTTTCATTTACCATGGTAACACCACCATACCCTATTCCTATGAAAAGTTCATATCCTGTCATGGTTGCAAACAGCCACCACAATTATCAGTTGGAAATACCCAGCTTATAATTTTCTCCTTTATAAATCCCCTGCTTTATAGACACTGATTCTCATCTGGGCTTGTAGTGGAAAAAGTGCATGCCCCCTTCTGGGTTTGTGTGGCTCAATAAAGACTTGAAATTCATAAAAGTTCAATTTTAAGTTTTAATAACTATGCCTAAGAGATCCATGAAACAAGAATGCCTCTGATCTGCAAACCTCTTGCCCAAGGACAGATCATTCCTGAAATGCTCAAGGGTATTATTTATAGGAGACAATGAGCCACATGTTTTCACTCTCTTAAACTAGTTTGTTTAACCCAACTACACTGGATATGCTTGATTATATGTGGGTGGGAGGTTCACAGGCAGTATGTATGCCTGCTCCTGATTGGACCCGATAGTAAATGCTTAAGTCTCTGCAAACTGTGACTCAGGGCCATTTTCTGGAAACCCAGAGATGGACCTGGCCAGAGCCCATCCACCTGGCCAATATTTAATTAAATATTGCTTCAAATTTGACTTTAAAATGTGGTAGTGTTCTTATTCTTGACCTGTTGCATCTGGTGGGATTAACACAATTCTGATTGTGGTCTCCTCTTGGATGAGAACAGCCTGTCTACAGAACCTACTTCCAAACTGGTTTATCTTGCATACTTAAAGTTGCCAGTGTGCAAACCTTTAGTTTCAGTACTCAGGAGGCAGAGGGATGTGTATTTCTGAGTTTGAAGCCAACCTGGTCTACAGAGGAAGTACTAAGATAGCCAGGTATACAGAGAGAAACCCTTTCTCAAAAACCAAAAACAAAACAAAACAAAGTCCTGGGAAATGACTTTTGTTGTTGTTGTTGTTGTTTTTGTTTGTTTGTTAAAAAAATCAAAGGCAACCTGCTTTAATTAAAATGTAAAATATCTGTTAGCAAATGACAAAATTTCTCATAAAATTTTTAATGCAGCATAAATAGTTTGAGTTATTTGCAGCTGAAAACAATGTAGAGCATACATATGGAATCCACAGTTAGCTTAGTCTTGCTGATTCAGTTTTCATTTCTGAACCCATCAAACTTAAATCTGATAGTACAGTTTAATAGCAAAGACTTTACTGTCAGAATTACATGAATTTCAGTCTTTGTTACCAGCATGTGACTTGGACAAGTGGTTTCCCTTCTCAGCATTAGTTTCATAATCTTTCAGATAAGAATAAAATAATTTAAAAATGGCATCTGTGTTTGGGGAGATGGCTGCTCTTCCAAGAAAACTGGGTTTAATTTGCAGCAACCATGTTGTGGTTCCCAGTCATCTCTAACTCCAGTTCTATGGGACCTGACACCCTCTCTGGTCCCTTTGAGCACTAGGCATCCACATGGTGTACAGGCATACAGATAAATATCCATACATGTAAAATAAAACAATAAAAAAGATTTGAAAATAGAATCTTACTGAAGTTTATTATTGTTATCAAAAAAGATGGCATCAGTTTTTTCTTTTTTCTGGGTGTGAAAATAGAAGTCTATTAGTCTTCCATGGTCAATGATTTTTTTCCTTTTTCTCTCTCTCTCTTCTTTCCTCCCTTCCTTCCTCCCTCCTTCCTTTCCTCCCTCCCTCCCTCCCTCCTTCCCTCCCTCCCTTCCTTTCTTCCTTTTTTCCTGTAGTGGGTAGCTGTTCCAGGTTTGACCTGGAAGTACTACCCCCAGTAACTGCCACACCTATCTATGAACTGCCCCTGAGGTGGGGCTGAGACAGGAGCACTTAGACCCAAGATCCGGATGTGCCAGCTCTCTTGGTTCCTTGTGATCCTGGATGCTGGGTGGTAGACCGAGCAGAATTCTCCAGAGAACACCACTGTACTGCACTTCATCTCTCCCAGATCCTATAACCAACCCTTTTACTGGCTTTAAGTTCCCAAAATAAACCTTTTTAACTATGTGGAGTTGCCTTAGTAAATTCCCACAATACCTTCCTTCTTTCTTTTCTTCCTTTTTGTGGTGTTTATAGATGTGTGCAGGTGATTGCATACATATATATGTGAGTGTGGATAACAAAGGTCACCCTTGGGTGTCATTCCTCATGTGCCATTGACCTTGGTGTTTGAATAATTCTTTCATTAAGCTAGAGCTCACCAAGTAAATTAGGTCATAGGGCCAACAAGCTGCAGGGATGTATCTGTCTCTTCCTCTCCATATTTGGGATTACAAATTTTCACCATCACACCAGGAAATTCAACTCAAGCCCTTAGGCTTCCAAGAAAAACACTATACTAAATGAACTATTTAGTTAACCTTGGGTTAATTATAGCAGTTTTTAATCTTTAAAAATAATAGTTACTCATTGAAATTTTAGGAAAGGTATTGAAAAAATTGTACCCATACTTTTAAAATGCTAAGCAAGAAACATAAGAATTAGCCCCACTGATGGAAAGGAACTCTTTATCTGGATATGTTGTGGCATAATACTTTTGAAACTCAGCTGAATATTGCCACCTCTCCATGGCAGGGGAGTGTTGACTCTACAGGTAGAAAGTGGGAAGCCTATGCTTCCCACCTCATCATTGAGGGCTAGACTTTAGCAGTGTCAACATTTCTTGATGTTTAAAGAGGGAGCTTTTTTCCCTAATATTTTACATATGCCACTCCCAAGGAGAACAGATTTCCTTTCCAACAATTAGAAGTCATTCATAAGTGTTCAAGGTTAATGTTATAGGCAAGGGACTTAGTGACCTGCATTGATTTTCAAGGAGTAGGTTGTAGCAAATAGCCTGCTTTGGGGCTTAGTAGTATGCTGGCAAAGGCCAGGCATGTCTCCTATTTAATATAGCTGGACCAATCCAATCCAGGGGTCATGCATCTTGACTCTGCATTGTCTGCTTCTGAAGGGGAATCTTCAATGGTTTCAAAAAACAACTGGATTTGAAATTGTTCTATGGTTTTAAAGCACAGATAAGAGTAAATACAGTAATGTATGAAAGTGACATTCTGGAGAATTACTGCTCACATGAAAAACAAGAGAGGAGACATCATCTGCCCAAGGGATTAGGATTCCAGAAATTGAATGGAAACTTTCATTAGACATACAGACTAATCACCCAAAGACATTGAAGTGAGTCAGAACCAGCCTGAGTGACTAGAGTTACTGTGTATTAAAACATTCCCCAAATCTGATATCCTGATACTTACATGAATGGACTTCTCTTCCTATCTATCTTCTTTTCTCTTATTATGTTACATACAGAATTTCTTTTAACAACTCAAAAATACTGTATACCCAATTATACTAATTTTTATTTTTTCCTGATGGTATTATAATCCTGATTATTGCTATACTGCACTACATTGCATTTTGCATCACCAAATCTTAACATTATAACATGAGCTTCAGTGTTTAACCACAAGGTGGGGCTGTCTTGAATTCTTCAGACAAGAGTGTATTTGATGCTTAGAGCACTGAATTTTTGTTATACTGCAATCACACATTTTAGCTACTTCAGCTTTTATTACTTTTTTAATTACATAGTCCAGGGTAGAGCTACTTTGCCATTTTACCTCAGTCTAAATAAAGATTTTGAACCAAGGTAATTTACATTAGCCAGAGAGTCTCAGTATCCACAGATTTTCAGTAGGTCTTGGGTGCCTTGGTAAAAGGACACTGAAAATATAGGTAAGAAAGTGCTCAGATGTGTTTAAAATTTTTTGTTTTTATATATTTATTTAATGTGTATGGATATATGTGTGGGCATGTGGGTGTCACAGTGCATGTGTGAAGGTCAGAAGACAACTTCTGAGAGTTAACTTTCCTCTCTCACATTTGAGTTCTGGGGATCAAAATCAAGTGGTCACCAACAGAGAGTTCATGTAGACAAATACGAAACAGAGAAATGCTAGAACTAACAGACATTATAAACCAAATGGACCTAACAGATATTTACACAACATTACATCATTGAAATATCCCAACATCCCCTAGATTAAGTTTTATTATTCCACATAATACCAGCTTATCACTTGCTGTGCTCTGGGAAGGTTTTCTTTGGATTTATGCCCATGTATTTATATTTTAAAAAGTGCGTATGCCAAATAAATTGGATCAGAAAAGTAAGTGCCCTCAGCAAATAATAATCAAAGGATTAAATGTACAGAACACAGAAAGAATATTAAGACCTGCAAAGGAAAAGACTAAGTAATGGATATTACTATTAGAATTACACCTGACTTTTCAATGGAGACTCTAATATGATGATATATTGTGTCTCCTAATATATTGTGCATTGTAATAAAGCTTATTTGAGGATCAGAGGAGAAAGCCGGCCACTCTATTAAACATAGAAGTCAGACAATGGTAGCACATGCCTATAATCCTAGCATTTGGAAGGCAGAGATCCATTCAGATCTCTGTGAGTTCAAGGCCACATTGGAACAGAGCCAGGCATGGTGGCACATGCCTTAAATTCCAATACTAATTAACCAAGAAGGTCTGGATGTCTGTACAGACAGACAGGAAGTGATGTAGCTGGGCAGAGAGAGGAAATGAGATGGCAGAACAGAAACGCATATAGGCATGAGTATACAGGAAGTAGGTCTCTTTGGAGGCTGAGAGCTTGTAAGTTGAGGTTGGCTGTGGCTTACCCTATTCCTCTGATCTCTGTTTTAACCCCAATATCTGGCTCTGGGTTTTTTATTTATAAGAACATTTAGCAATTTGCCTTACATCTAGCAGCCCAGTGTTTGTGGCAAGAATGAACTAAAAAGCTACTTGTGGCCTTACAGGCCCCCAGCTCAGGCCCAAGCTACATGTGGCCAGAGTCTCCACCCCATGTGGGCTAGAGTCTCTTTGACTTTTCCTCTCCTGGTGGGTGGTGGGCTCTCTCTGGATTCCCATCTCAGACTGCTACAATACTAGGTAGCTGCTTTGAAACTCCCTCAGACTTCTGCTGTTTTACACAGTCAGCAGACTTGGTGAGTCAATTAAGATATCTTAAAGGGAGAAATTAATTAAAAGAGAATCCCTCCACATTAAAAAATAGGAAACATTTTTACAATGGAAGGGATTTGGTCTCTGTTTGGTAACATATTAGGCAGTCTGAAAAATGGAACAATTAATTGAGAGGATAATTAATGCTAATGGGATTTACATAACATTAATTATAACAATATTTAAATAAAAATAAACATTTATAAACAATATTTTGGGAATTTGGGTGTAGCTCATTTCCACTGGAGTCCAGTTAGCTCATACACAGCCTTGAGCATTTGTCTGTTCCTGTAAGGTTACTGGGTAGATTAATGTTACAATATATACAAATATAACAATATATTATTTCTTTGATATTTTTTATTTTAGCATTAAAAAGGTTGGTCAATTTGAGTGCTAAAATAAAAGTTTTAGAAAAACTTGTTAAAATAAATTATAGAGAAATTCATACCCAGACAGAAGACTTTAAAGGAGAACCTATCTCAGCATTGAATTATACAGTTACAGAGAAACAGTCTTAAGTTTCCAGACAGCAAACATTAATTTACCCAGTAACCTTACAGGAACAGCCAAATGCTCAAGGCTGTGTACGAGCTAACTGGACTCCAGTGGAAATGAGCTATGCCCAAATTCCCAAAATATTGTTTATAAGTGTTTATTTTTATTTAAAGGGGGTTGATTATAAATACAATCTCTTTCTAAAAAAGAAAAAGGGATAATATAGATATGGTAGAATAAAAGGGTAGATTATTGAACATACTTTTAAAAAGCAAAAACTTGTTTAAAAATGTTTTACGTTGCTATAGATTTTAGTTTATTACAAATTTAAAGTTAATTTTGTTATACTGTATATATATTTCTACTCTCATTTAAGGTATTATGTTTATGTAACTCATTTAAATTGTTTTTCATTTTATAATTTAATTAATTTTACATATCAGTCACAGATTCCCTTGTCCTCCCCCCTCCTATCCTCCCTGCCTTCCCCCCACCGCACTCCCCATTCCCATCTCCTCCAGGGCAAAGACTCCCCTGGGGATTCAGTTCAACCTGGTAGATTCAGTCCAGGCAGGTCCAGTCCCCTCCTCCCAGGCTGAGCAAAGTGTCCCTGCACAAGCCCCAGGTTCCAAACAGCCAGCTCATGCACTGAGGACAGGTCCCTGTCCCACTGCCTGGATGCCTCCCAAACAGTTCAAGCTAATCAACTGTCTCAGTTATCCAGAGGGCCTGATCCAGTTGGGGGCTCCTCAGCTATCGGTTCATAGTTCATGTGTTTCCATTCATTTGGCTATTTGTCCCTGTGCTTTTTCCAACCTTGGTCTCAACAATTCTCGCTCATACAATTAAATTGTAATGGATAGTTAAGAAATACAGATTAATAATTAGTCTTCTAAGACAGTCAAACTTATAGTCATGTTAGTTAAGTTTTCTAGGTATACGTAGATATATTTCAGTTATGTAGGTAATCTTCAAACATTTCAAAGACCTACAGAATATGGCATTTAAAATGTTTTAAAAACTTAGACTTTCTGGACAGTGAGACACATCTGCTCCTGGCACCACCAATTTACTTTAAAGAGAAAGATGGGCATAGAAGACACCATATGGAGTTTATCTTCTTGGAAAAAAAATGGCCATTTGGGCAAGAAACTGCTCTTGCCTGGATTGCCTATAACATATTATATAAACTGGACATGCAGTACCCATAGGAAGAAGACCACTGAACTTTGCAAGGTGAAATAGTTCTTGAGGTTCCTGCTTCACAGAGGAGACTGCCAAATATTCTACAGGACACAGGGAGAAGTGAGCAAAAAACTCTAGACCTATTGACTGAAGATGGATGCCCCAATATTGCAGAGGAACTTTGGATGACTGTCCAGGCAGGCAGCTGTCTGTCATTTTCAGAATTTTGGAAGTTTCTTACAATTCATTTCATGTTTACTTAGGTAATATTATATCTT